TCCGGCTACTCGGAAGGCTGAGGCGGAAGGATCGCCGGAGCCCAGCAGGTCAAGGCTGCATTGGCCGGGAGCAGCCACTGCGCTCCAGTCTGGGTGACAGAGTGAGACTCCAACTCAAAAAAAAAATAAAATAAAATAACCCAGCTGGGTACTGTGGCTCAAGCCTGTAATCCCAGCACTTTGGGAGCCCAGTTAGAGACCAGTCTAGGCAACACGGTGAAGTTCATCTCTACAAAAAAAATAAAAAGGCCAGGCGCAGTGGCTCACAGCTATAATCCCAGCACATCGGGAGGTCAAGGTGAGAGGATTGCCTGAGCCCATGGGTTCGAGACCAGCCTGGGCAACTTGGTGAGACCTTATCTCTATAATAAATTTAAAAATTAGCCGGGCACGGTGGTGCATGCCTGTAGTTCCAGCTACTTAAGGCTGAGGTAGAAGGATCGCCTGAGCCCAGCAGTTCGAGGCTGTGGTGGCTGTGAGTGTGCCACTGCACTCCAGCCTGGGTAACAGAGTGAGACTTGGACTCAAAAATAAATAAATAAATAAAATTAAAAAACTATCCAGGCGTGGTGGTATGGACCTGTAGTCCCAGCTACTCAGGAGGCTGAGGCCGGAGGAGCACCCGAGCCCAGTACGTTAAGGCTGCCATAAGCCGTGATCGTGTCACTGTCACTGCACTCCAGCCTGTGGGACAGAGTGAGACTCCCAACTCAAAAAATAATAATATTATTAAATAATTTTTTAAAAACAAAAAAGTTGCCCCTTCCTTGGAAAATAAGCATTCCTGTGCCAGTGGAGCTGGAGCAGATTTTAGCACAGAGATTTTAGTGCCTACTCAAGCCATTGGCACAGCCGGCTGGCAAAGCCTTTTGTGGTAGAGTTATGTTTTTGAGATTCACCTTTGATGATGACTGTAGCTGTAATTCATTCATTTTTATGGCCGAAATGCTATTACATTGCATGATTCATAGAAGAGAGAACACAAATGGTTCGCAGTAATGTGAAAAGATACTCAGCCTCATTTGT